AGCCTCTTAGGTTAGCATCAGTTCCAAACCCAAGTCCTTGGATCTCAACACAAATTGACAAAAAGTGCCTCAGATCCAGGTGAGGAGAGCACTGTGGGCCTCAGCAGCCCTCAGCCCACTTGCTAGACTATGTGCATGACTTCCTGGGACCTGAGGTTTCTCAGTGTCCTGGTCATGGCTTCTGCCATCTTCCCTCTGTCTGCAGAGTCCAGCCTCATTGCTTGCCAGCAGCAGGTGCTATGAAAAATTGCACAGTTCAGGCACCTACCTGGGACCTCATGTTCTCTTTTGTAGGAAAGCTGAGCAGAGCACCCCAAGTTTCTCTGCCTTGGTTGGCTGAGTTTATGAGACTACCTATTCTGGATTCTGAACTGGTGTCACAGATTATATCTTTTAATCTTTTTAGAAAAATATTAGTCAAGACAAGCCTGAAGGGTTGAATGTGCCGTTCACATCACCACCAGTAATGGGAAGGAGGAAAGAAGTGGTATTTTGTGCTATCCAAAGATGCTCTGTGACCTGGGGCTATGTTTCCCGAAGCTGAGATGGAGAATGTAGACTTGCTGCTTCAACTTTCCTGGTTCCCAAGGTCACATTTTAAAGACTTGTCCTAGACACCCGTTCCAGAGGGACTCCTACCAGAATGTGGATGCACTCTCCAGTTTACTACTGATGAATGCCAGGCCATCCTTTAGAAATTCCTCAGCTGCCCTTGGTCCCATTCTTCTTCATTCAGACTGTTTAATTTGGCAGTCAATAGGAACTTTGGGTGCATGAGAGAACTGATAAAACTCCTCTTTTCTGATGATTAAAGCAAGAGACCAGCTTGCAGCGCACCCAACTGGTCCTGCCCCATCTCTCCCCTTCTCATTGAGCTTTAAAACGACTCCTTTAAAAAAAAAATCAATTACCAGAATGGAAAAGTAGCATATCCTGCCCTGCACATCATATTCTCTGTTGGCAAGAGGACAGGAAGAGCAGCTTGTGTGGTCCTTCTGGAGCCCTGGTGTCTCCTCAAAGAGGCCATACTCGTGCATCCATTTGGAAGCCAATGTGCAGCTATATGTCCACAGAGCAAACCCTATGCAAAGCCCAACTGCAGGCCAGATTCAGGAGGGTCCCCATCATGTTGCCCTGTGAGCGGAGGCAGTAGCTCCCAGCATGTTCCAGACACCATGCTAGGCGTCAGCAGGTCCAATACCAAGATCAGAGCAAGGGGCTTATTCCTGAGGCCCTGCTCTGAGTGCAGGATTGCCCTGCGTGAGCTATCAAGCAACTATGCTTTAAACTGTTTTTTTAAACTATTTATTTTATACTATTTTTTAACTATTGTTAGAGGTCCAGGTTGCACAGATCCTCCGTGGGTGCAGTGAGGGGTCAGCTCCTCAGCCTGGACAGGCAATCCCCCCCTACCCAAAGCCACCAATGGGAGTTACTTTGGAATCACTAGCCATAATGCAAAGGCAGAAATCTAAGAGTTCAAGATTATTTCTATTAAACACATTTTCCTTTCCACAAGAATATTTTTTCAGCACCACACCACACCCATGTTTCATCTTTCATGGATCATTAGAAGTAGTACTACAATTGTACAGTTCTCAATCTGTCCAGTGGCCTGCTCAGACGAAACTTTGTATGTATTTTGTATGGCATAGATTCTATACTGTAATGAGGACCTTTGCGAGAAGAAAAAGTTAAAACAATTTTAGTGTTTTAATGTGTATGCATGCTTAGTGATGTTTACATTTGTTGTTGTTGTTGTTGTTGTTATGTGCCGTCGAGTCGTTTTCGACTCATAGCGACCCTATGCACAACAGCCCTAAACCCTGCTCTATCCT